TGGCGTCAGCCTAGCTCACAGCAACCTCAAACTCCTGGGCTCAAGCAATCCTTCTGCCTCAGCCTCCCGAGTAGCTGGACTACAGGCATGTGCCACCATGCCTGGCTAATTTTTTATATATATATATTGTTAGTTGTCCAGATCATTTCTTTCTATTTTTTTGTAGAGACAGGGTCTCGCTCTTGCTCAGGCTGGTCTCGAACTCTTGACCTTGAGCGATCCACCCGCCTCAGCCTCCCAGAGTGCTAGGATTATAGGCGTGAGCCACCGCACCTGGCCACTGATAGATATTTTGATGTTGAACTGTTCTTGCACACCTAAGATGAATTCTCCTTGATCATGCTGCATAATTTTAATACCCCATTGGATGCTATTATGCAATATTTATTTAGACTTCTTTATGCTTACTTTAATAAGCAAAACAAGACTAGAATTTTCTTTCTTTCTTTTTTTTGTCCTGATCTAGCTTTGGAATCAAACTTAACCAAGCCTCATAAAGTAACTTTCACTTTTTCATATATTCTAAAGCAACTTAAATAATTTGTATAAGAGAGGAATTAACTGGTCTTAAAACTTTAGAGAAATTTACCTGTAAAGTGATTGGAGTCTGAGTTTTGCAAGACGGGCGGTTTTTGCTACCATTTTAATTTCTTTAAAATGCATTGGTCTGTTGAAGTTTTCTATTTCTTCTTTCTGGGTTTTGGCCTTCTCTATATTTTTTTCTAGGCATGTATAGATTTCATTTAGATTTTCAAAGTCATTAGTGTACAATTGTTCATAATATGCTTTTATTGGCTTTTAAAACGATCTCTGTGGTGTCTATAGGAGATTTTCCTATTGTGAACCAGCATGTGGTTCTCTATAGATGGTATTTGGGCACTGCTGATGGGATATGAGAATAGATGTTTTTTTTTAGTAGAACCTACTATGTGCCAAGCTGAGGGCTCTGAGACAGGCACAGTCCCTGCCCTCATGGAATTGGCATCTGAGTGGGACAGATAGACACAGACCTGGGACAGAGGGAAAGAAGACCAGAAGGAAAGGACTGCAGAAGGAAGGTCAGGAAGTCCCCTGTGTGAGGGGATGAGCCTCTGCCAGGCTCCGGCCCAGCGATCGCCCTCCCCTTGGCCTGCATCTTGGGCTAGCGAGGCAGGGAGTGCCAGAGGTGATGCTGAGGTGGGCAATGGGGCCGTGTCAGCAGGGCCTATCATCACCCACGGCATGAAGTGGGAGTCATCGGGACACCGGCCACCCCCCCTTAAATCTTGGAGACTTTTCCTTTCCCGTGACCCAGCAGCCTAAGGAACCCATGATCTCTCTTCTTTATAAAGGATATACCAGGTAGTACCCGAAAGCTGGTTTTTCACCCCAAAAAGACTTCAGGGAGGAGAGGGGATGATGCCATATCAAGGGACTTCAAGAAATCCACTGTCAGACCAGCGCGGTGGCTCACGCCTATAATCCTATCACTCTGGGAGGCCGAGGCAGGCGGATTGTTTGAGCTCAGGAGTTCGACACCAGCCTGAGCAAGAGCGAGACCCCGTCTCTACTAAAAATAGAAAGAAATTAATTGGACAACTAAAAATATATAGAAAAAAA